CTCTCTAAAATAGGAAGAGCATCAAACAGAGGAATAAAAAGGAAGTTGCTTCTCTCAGCTTCAATAAAAATGAAGTGGCATCTATTAGTTTTAGTCTTCTCTCATATAGAGAAATCATCTATCCTTTCTATCGGTAAAACCTTAGAAGTCAAAATGTTAAAAAGTTGTAGGGTCTGATTCTAATGTAGATTCAGTTGGACATACTCATCCAGAAATGTATTTTGGGCTGTTTTCTGCCATAAAAATTGCCAGCAGAGCTTTGTGTCATGGGAGCTTAAATTTTGTATTGATTGTTGGGATGACCCCCCAAGATCTAAACATGCAACAGTAAAATAACTCATTCGGTTCATCACTTCTGAAGAAGTATGGCAGACTTTAGGAAGTACTTCTAATGGATGATTTTTACTAACTATGACCATATGCTCTGTGTATGTGCTTAAAAACATTTCAGCAACTTGTAGAAACAGTGTCTTGTGGAGGAAACCTCCTAATGAATATTGGGCCCACTCACGATGGTCGCATGGCCGTTGTGTTTGAGGAACGCCTGAGGCAGATGGGTGCCTGGCTGAAAGTCAATGGAGAAGCCATCTATGGAACAAAACCATGGAGAGCACAGAATGACACATTCACCCCAGGAGTGTGGTAAGGTGACTGAATCAAAATCAGCTGTTCCATTAACAGCGTATGTGACGCTTTGAAATTCTTAGTGATGACTTGATGCTACAGAAATCACCAGCTTATGTGTGTGTGAAGAAATTAACCCTTTTGTCAGTTTAAGTAACTGCACATAAAAGTGCGTATAGAACTGTAGGTAGGCAATGAGTGTCAGAGACCATAGTTTTGGGATGATGCTGAGACTGAGGGGAAGGTTGCAGACATTTCCTTAATGATCTTGTGCTTCTTAGTGTAGCTGGCAACAGAAACCACACAAAAAAAAATCTGGAAATATAAAACTGCTATGAAGTGTTTGTCTGTACAAAGGTTGTGTCACTCTTTAGAGAAAGAGGGGAGAGAAAGAAACTAGAAACCACTCTGGCATATTCTGCATTTCTTTTTAACGTACAAATGCATGGGAAGAGAACTGCAATTGTTTGGTCACTAAATTCAGCCAGTCTCTGGACTCTCCTCTGCCTTTATGCCTCACAGCTGCTGTAATGCCTTAATGATCCATCAGGGTTTTGGTCTTAACCCTCTTCTCCACTTCAGTGGGTCTTTACTTCAGTTCCCAGTAAGATTTGGCTATCTGGCTTTAGCTCTGGATGCTGAACTGCTGACTGCGATGTAAAACCATCTCCAAGAGCAATAAAACATTGTAACTAAGGGAAGGAAAGAGGGAGGATTGTTCAGAGTATGCCACAGGATTTACAAGGACAAACTAGATAATAGCTGCTGAAAGTAAATTTTCAGAAAACCAGCTGTGCCGGCTGGAAGCTTTGTCACACATGCTCTTGTTAACTGGGTTTTTTAGTGGAATGTCTGTATGTTTGTGTCTAGATGTGAATTACCAGGGTTTCCTGAATGTAACTCGCAATTATCTGTTAATGATTCCCCCTGCCCTGCAAGTACCTCCCTCCTGTATGGCTGAGCAGCACTGAGTTACTATATACTTAAGTTACTACATACTTAAGTTACTACAGATGTTTACCTCTAAACTCAGTTATTCAATAGTCTTTATTACCTCTAGTTTGTTGGAACATATTTTCAAGGAACAGTACTTTCTCAAAGAGTATATATTGTCTGAAAAGATGGTCATGTGTGTGAAAATGTAATTAACACTAACTCTTAAAATCCATTTTTCCAGTCCTGAAAGCACTCTATGTATTGCTTCAGAAAATTTACCAGGGAAAATTGACATGCATTTCTATTCCCCATTTCCAACCAGGTACACTTTCAGCCCTAAAGAGGGGAAACTCAATGCTATCTTCCTTGACTGGCCGGTCTCTGGGACTCTGGTACTTGGTGAGCCACAAGCCAAGCTTGGAGAAACACAGGTGAAAGACAACACACCCCACTCTTCCCCTTTAAAACAGTGAGGCTTGTTAAAAGAAGAAGAAACAAATGTGCTCTGAAGGAAAACACCTCTAGGATTTGTCATGTTCCATCATGTTTGTTTTAGTTTCTGGCCTCTTTAGGGATGCATAGCTCAGGACAGAGTACATTGGAAGAGACCCAGCAAATGTTTATTTTTGTTCTGGGACTTCTTTGTCATAGTCCTCCCAGTGGTATATGTTTCTTCTCCAACAAACAAAGTTAGGCTGAATTGCTGGTGGGGTATGTTTTAGCTTACAAACTAAGGAGGCCAAGTAGCAGGGGAAAAGAACTGTGCCCCTCCTGTTTCCTGTGTAGCCTCTAACTCAGCATGACCTTTCTTTATAGATAGCCATCCTCATGATTTTGGTGAGGCTGCAATTGCTGTAATGGTTGGTGCAAGTCAAAGCCTTGCACAAAAGGAAAGTGCACAGAGGTTTTCATTGCCCAGGGAGGCTAAATAGTAGACCAGTGCAACCCTAGATGTGTGTCTTACAGCAAGCACTGGTCAGAAGTTGAGGACATAGTGCCACACCTACATTAGCAAATAGTGTAACCCAACAGAAGCAAATTTATAGAGCAGAACAGTTAGTGCTCAGGGCTTGGTATCAACACTACATTTAAGGTAGGGATTCTCTTTGGCTTAGTGCTGTTCTTACACAGTGGATGTCCACTAGCTGCTGAAATAGATGCATTAAGGGTCTTTCTGAACTGCCTCATCAGGCCTAGTTCCATGTGACATTAAGCCAAGACAGTTCTGTGCTAAGGAAGACAGAGCAATTTCAGAAGTGATGTAGATGAATCTTGAATAAGCATCTAGAGTGTATGTGCACAAGAGAGTAAGGATGTTCCTCAGCAGCAGAGACTGGCCTTCAGCTAATCTACTATTTTCGGCATATCAGCAGCTGGTCTAAGCGTCTCACTGTAAAACCTATTTGTGTGGTCTGCTTTGTTTGAGATACCTGGCTGCACTCTGTAAGGAACTGGTGCTCATTCAAGACTCCAAGTTCCACCATGGCAAACAAGCATTTCAGAAATAGGTGATACAAAGATGTGTACTGCAGTACCTAGATCCCTGCTTAGACCAAAATCCTACCCCAGACTACTGAGAAGTGTTTATGTGCCTTTTTCACAGCCCTAAGTACATCTTGAGACCCACCAGCACTATCTTTATTGCTTGTGTATCTACTTCGCAACTAATTTTCAGTTATCTTTAATAATTATCATTTATTTGGTTGGTAAGTGGCACTTAAGGATATTGGCTAATAAGGTAGCTACAGACCAACATCCCTATTGTCAATACTGCAATGCTTTGAGAATCACACACTTTGAGAAGGTGCTGTTCTAACCACAGTGTATGTTTCTGTCTCAGGTGAAGCTGGTTGGCTACAAGGAACTGCTGAAATGGGTTGCACTGGGAGAAAAGGGAATCATTGTAGCTCTACCTCAGTTAACTCCCAAGCAATTGCCATGTCAGTGGGGCTGGACGATACAGCTGACTGACGTAAGCTGAGCTGTATGCTGCTGGAGCCTTGAGTAGCTGGGAATGAGGATATTTTGCCCACTTTCTCATCACTGGTTTCTCTTGACTGCAAAACCCCAGTAATTTCACTTCTTCATGAAAAGTGGACTGTTGTTACAGGATGGAATGAACCTCATGTCAAATCTAGAACTAGACAGGTGAAGCTCTGCATACGATTTGTTTTCTTGAACTTGTGTGAAAACTGAGCATTGACCTTGACCTCTCCACTTAGTCAGTGTCTTGCCAAGTCATGTAAGGGGGGAAGGAAAGAAGGGAAACCAGTCACTGGATTTTTAAAGCCATGAGAAAGAACAAGCTAGCTCAAGCCAGCATTCAAATGTCAGTCAGTCAGCTACCTCCTTTAATGCAAGAAATCTTAACTTCCACAAAACTGTACAGTAAAGCCTGTCAGCTTTAGAGAAAAGAATAACCTTTTTCCAGTTGTGTGTAACAAGTGGCAGGTTCTGCTGAGCAGGGTAGTGTATCTGCATTACTCTGAAGTAATTCTATCCATTATTGGGATACAAGCAAAGTGGGAGGGGTTTTGGCTGTTTTATATAATATTACATGGTTAAAGCTGACTGTTTACAGCCATAGTTTTTAACCAGTTACCAGGGTGCCTCCTGTGGACAATAAATCAAAACATGTACTCCAATGACGAGCTTTTTTATAAGTGAGAAATAATCAGGAGTTGCTAGGGAGCCTCAGCTTTGTCTAAGAGACATCAATTTAAGCAGAGGGTAGATTGCATCTAACTTGAAAAATTCCCAAGCTCATCATGTGTCAGGATTTGCAGGGACAGACCTGCAGTGTGAAGTTTGCAAAGAGGGGGAGGTACAGGACAACAAAAAGCATGAACTGTTTCAGTGTAGACATCAAAGTTTTATGTTTCCTGAGTAATGTTAATAAGTGCAAAACTATTACCGTATAATTTATGTAAGGATTTTAAGTGAAGGGCCAATAGAGGTTATTGCCTTTCCTGCTGGTAATGTTAATACACACACAAATTTTGCATTAAAATATTTTATTACAATACAGACAATTAGGCTCAAAATTAATAATACAAATTAAGATAAAATATTTACAAGTTAATGTGTACAGTGTAGCTGTTTGAACAGCATAAACAAGAGGACTTCTAAAAATCCACATTCCTTTAGTATTAAGTAACAGAGAGAGCAGTTCCCTCCTGGCCCCCCCAGCTTGTTCAAGAAAAATGTGCATCAGTTGGCAAAGGCTTTCTGAAGAATGAGTCTTTGGAATAACATTTGTAAAGTTAAGGAAAAAACGAGTTTTCCTTTATGAAAATAAATATTCGGGAGAAGGAGAAGAAAGCAGCCTTACTTCGTTTTGCTACCCTGTGCTATTCTTAGGTCACTGTCACTAGTTTTTTCCAAAACATGGGCACCCCACGCAAACAAATGGGGTTTTTAAAAAGTGACTTGTTGTAACACTGCCACCCGATGCCCTTCAGATGCAATAAAAATAATCAAATTAATTACGGAAGAGTTTGAGCACTTTTTAAAAATAGAAAAGTCTTTACATACAATGATTCCTTCAACAAGAATGTTTTTAATGGGTGTTTGCAACTGACACTATTAGAGCAAATATGGGCTCGCTCCCACTTTTTTCAGCATGTTCTTTCTGCTGGTCTGCCACTCTTACACCATCACAAAATTAACCCAAGTCTCATCAGTAGTCACAAGGGATTTATTATATATACACAATCTATCCCTATGAGTGTGCAGTTCATTTCTCTAGTTGCTGCGGGGTACTAAAAGCTTCATAAACATTAGCAGCAAAATCTTTCACTTGTTCCATCATCAACAGGTCCTGGAAAGGAATTTAAAGAATAAATGTTCTCAAACACATCCAGCACTGTTCTGGTTTTGCTGCAGTACATAATTCACCATGAGAAAAGCACCTGGCACTCCCACAGAGGCCCAACTCAAATTTCCTGCTTTAGCAAGGTTTACAAGCAGAACTGCAAGTAGAACCAAGAGATGTTTTTGTGCTTCTGCCCAGGTTAGCAGAGGGAAGAGGTTCTAGAAAAATACCATATTTATGGGAGATACAAATTCACAAAAAGTTATGCCAATTGTTTCTCCTTTTTCTTTCTTTTTAAGCCACTGAACTGAAACAGTACAAAGCATGTTGTTAAAAAGAAATATACAACATTCAGTTCAGAATTTTAGGTGGGATATTTTAAATAAGCAAGATCCTTACCTGAACAAAGTGACTGGGTGTTTCGCTGCATACTGAATGGATCTGTCCATTGATTATTGGAATTATCTTGGCTAAAGGAAGACTGACGCTGGAAAGACTAAAAAAGAACAAAAAATATTGACCTAGACCTGCTCCAACATTAGTAAAGCCACTAAAGTGGGTTCATTATAATCCTAAGTAATTACTACTTCAAAAGTAACAGTTGAAAAGCTGCAAACTAAAATGTACAGATGAAGGTTTCTTTCTCTTATCAAGCCTTTTATTTAATGCAAAGAAGTACGAGAGTGAATTTCAGCTGGTGTTCTTGTTACACATAGTTTCACACTTGCTTCTCATGCAAGAGAAGCATGGGCTAGCCAGAGTCTTTACATATGTGCGTATGTAAACAGAAGTACTGGTCTACAATCTCACACTATTTCAAACTCTAAACCAGGCTTAGGATAGACAACTGAACTAACACCCTCAGGATACTTTAAGTGATGTAAATAGTAGATAATTTAAATAAAACCATTACTCTCTGAGAGCCATCAGTTATTACAATAAACATAAACCCAATTATTATTCAAGGTTTTAACATTTTTCAAATCAAATTTCAATGATTTGAACTCAACTTTTGGATACTCTCACTGCACTGTAACTTATCTTCAGAATAGAAGCTCTTTTTAAGCAGTCTTCTAGGAAGAGGAAAAAGATCCCAAATGTTAACATACCTTTCTTCCAGCATACCAGTGAATAACCTAAAGCTCCATAGATGCGTTAGGCTACACGTATTTGGAGAATCATGGTAATGCCACTGTCCTTGAGAACTACAATAACTAGCAGTTAGAGACTGGGGCGTGCAGAGTGTCTCTGCTCTGGGTAGGGGAACACCAGCTTCCTCAGGGCCTCACAGGGGAGGTACTGCAGTACAGCTTTGAGCACTCACCACCAGCGAGGTAAATCCTCCTTTGCTACAAAGGCAGTTTGCCCGTACAGTGCTCAGGAGAAAAGGGAAAGGTAGAGGTCTTCTGATTTCTACTTTTAGATTTGCAGGTAATGGTGGGAAAGACACCTTACATAAATTCTAGGAAGAAACACACAATACCCCTAGCTGTCTACTTGACCAAAGTGAGGAGACTGCATTTATTCTTGATGGGCAAGAAGCAGAATTATTTCTAGCATGAGATCTTCAAGTAGGCAGGAAAATCAAGAGCCTTTTTTGGAACTCACTATGAACCCAAAGCATTATATGCTGAAGTGTACCACAACAAAAGGAAACATTTACCTATTTACAGAGCCACTCTGAGAGAGGTCCTGTTCAGTAGGTCTAAAAAACTCTGCCATATTGTCCAGCAGTCGACTGAATCCTCTATTTAAACACGTGCTCAAAACTGTGCTGAAGTCTGGACTGGAAAAAAAAAAAAAAAAAAAAAAAAAAAAAGAAGAAAAAAAAGAGGTCTGATTCCTGGGATTTATTTTTTCAAACTAAAAACCCTGCAAGTGTTCAGTGCTACAGATGTCCCTGTCCCTCCCACATGGGAAGATGTATGACTCAGACAGAAGGCCACAACACAGCCACCTCAAGAAAGACCAGCTCCCCAGCAGACCAATCAACAACTTAACCTCCACCATAAGATTGTTAAACCCCAGGTAAATCTAAAGCATTTCTCTCTCTTACTAAGTAATAACATAAGAGGGACTTACTGCATCCTTAAATGCCCCAGACCTCTAGCAGCTAAATTGTAAGTTTGGCATTTGGTTCAATTCCCTCCTATTCCATGTTTCTTACACAAGCCTTACTTGAGCAGCACTCCAGTAAAAGGATGCACAAACCCACTCTCAAAGCCACGCATTAAACAAATTCTGATAAGCCCAAACTGATGTTCATTTTACCAAAGCAGTAAATCCAATAGAATTACCCTTAATTTACACTGCTTTAGCAGAAAAGAAGTACTCCTGTGTTCCTGCATAACTACAGGAAAGGCGAGGAAGAGGTAACGGGGAAGAACATCCTGGTCATCTCGTTAAGGCAGGATTATTTCCAATAAATTTGGAAAATCCCAGCCTACAGTTAGTGAATATAAAAACAATGCAGCAGAATGGTCGCATTTCACAAGTGAAAGCTGGCAGGTTCTTATAGGAAAATAATCTTACATAAACAATAGTGAGGAGGAGTTTAATATGAATAGAGGATATTGCTCTCTACCTTTCTAGCATATCTCTGGTTTCATTAAGTAATTTAATTGTAGCAACATCTCTTTCTGTGAGTCCGCAGGCCTACAAAAAAAGCAAAGACAGACACTGTTTAGTAAGACATCCATTGGCAACTCTAAGAATAAGAGTAGACGCAGAAGAGTTTTGTACTGTGGAATTAAGTCAAGATGCGTAAGTCAAATCTGTTTAAAAGAAAAGGTTTACTGTCATGAATCAGTCTCTATGATTTATGTTTTAATTTTCATTTTAAGTGGTCACTGTGGGATCTTTTCCCTCTAAAAATAGTATTAGCAGGAAATAGCAGACTAATTGAGCGAAGTAATTTTTTCCACTTCTGACCTCCAAAACTGAAATAAACCCTACCTATCAGCTTCAGTTAAAGGGATAAGTGCATATAAGTCACACACTGAAGCCTAAATTTCTTCTTGATATTAGTGTAATAGCAAGTTAAGAATGAGTTTTTTCCAACCTGTGGTGTGAATGGAGACAAACACCTTTAGAAAATTTAGGAAATCACTTTAACATTACTACTGAGATTAGATACACCTCTCTCTTGACTCCTGCTCATTTTCCAGCCCAAAGCACAAAAGTATTCCAGCACACCATCACCTCCCTGTACATCAGTCAAGATGCTACAGCTGTGGGACAAGTGCCAGGTAAGCAATTTAGGTTAGGGCTGAGTTAAGCTACATTGTGTTACAGCACACTGCACAGGCTAAACAAAGTAACTGGGCTGCGTTTCTGAGCTCAAAGCTGGCATTCTGAGGATAATACCTGTTTGCAATCACATCTGAAAAAAGTACAGCTTTACTTTGCCTCGATTAAAGAGATAAGGACACTTGATTTATACAGGAAGAAGCATCACCATTTATTGAAGATACAGATGCTGTGGTACAACTGGAGGACCATTATGCACCCTTCCTCCCCAAAACAAACAAACAAACAATGCAGACAAAGTAGCTGAAAGAAACTGAAACAGGTACCTGTGTAGCCAAGGGGTTTTCTTCATCTGGCATCAGATAATGACATAAGGGAGAGTAAGGTGCAGTCTGATCTGAATCTTTATGTTCTACTACATTCCTGATATCTTTAAGTTTCTGTTCCAGTTCCAGAAGAGATAGGGTGTGCTTAAGGGAAATACTGGAAAGGAAGAAGACTACGTTGACTGCAAAATTAATAATGATGCTTTCTTCTCCTACTGATAACATGTTCACAATTAACAGGATCCCAATTTGCTATACTGGTTGGCCCCAGCAGATGCAGCCTGCTGTAATAAAAACATTGTTTTGGAAACAGTCAATACATCTTCCTTTTTTTTTGGATTCTAATAAAACTCATTGTTTCGGGAACAACCAGTCACAATAAAACTTAAAAGCTAACCACAGAAAAATACAGACTCTTACCTTCCAAAAACTTTATGCACAGCTTGCTTAACAATAGTTATCAACTCAGTGAGTCCTAAAAGGAGGGAAGTGTCAAAATTATTCTAATGATTTGCTCAAGTCCAGAAAAGAAGTAGAATTTTTTAAGTGTAGCTGTAATAAGCACCATACCATCTCCTAGAAGGTGCTGAATACTTGATAAATATTGCTGCTGAACTTCAGGGGGAGCCAGTGGTGTCTGTGAGGGAAAAAAACCCAACAGTTCTGTGACATGTCAACAGACAAGAACAATGCAGAACTAATTTCAAACTAGCTGTGACCAATTTCCTCCATCTTTATAATCCCCTGCAGCAGGTGGATTCCCCCATTCTCATGCAAATCTCTAGGTTCTGACTCTTCCGGCCATCAACCCACAAATCTTTAAGTCCTTTGGCAATCTCTTCAATACTATACAGATCTTCTATCTTCAGTGGCACAGAAAAATCTTTCAATTTCCATTCATATATAGGAAAGTCTCTTTGAAAACTGCATTACAAGTGAAACTAGACCCTCCACCACCCCAAAAATGAAACCCAGTGAAAAGAGGATATTTATGCTTAACCCTAACAAAAGCTTTTCTGATAGAAAAGAAGCTTTCAGGAACTGAGACAGGACGTTGCCAGTTTGCTCCAGCGGAATGCCTCAAGGGTTGGCCCCATCAATCCACTTCTCTATTGGAAAATAATTGAGAGAAAACACATTTCTAGTCCAAACTCACCTTGCCCTTTTAAAAAAGCTTTTTCAGGTTTCGCAAAGTGAAGCACAACCTCCATCAACCCTGACGGAAGCTCAGACCTGCCTTTCCATACTGTTCTTTGACTCTCAGAACATGCTATCACAGGAGGTCATATGAGAATTAACCAAAGTTTACATCCATTATTTTCAGATGGGCTGTCCAACAATTTGAAGATCTTACTCTCTACAAGGGGTATTTGCTTACTGTGGGATTCACCTATTTTTACTGAGCAGTGAGAGCTATACTACATAAACAAACCCCAAGTCTTCTAACTTGCCTGGCCCCACCAACAGACGTTCAGGCAGATAGCCTTTGGGAGTTAAACAAAATAGTCAAAATTTCAAAGACAACCCTTTTCTTCTACAATCCTAGGAAAACTTCACTTGTGGAATTAATGTATGTGCTAGGAAGACCTAAGCATTTGGATACATGAGTATGAGTGATCCGTGTGTATGTACTTACATACATGTGCAAGGATCATTCACACAGTATTACTGTTTTACAAAAAATTAAAGCAGAGAAATTATTTTATGTTGGTGTTTAGGTAAGAATTGACCTTCTTCAAGCAATACAAGTGCAGACAAAAGTACTCTCAATATTTCTAGTATTTTGTTAAGCAATAGTATCACCAAATCATCCAAATCTAGAGGCTATGAAGATACATCAATATAGCTTACTTTCAGCAATGCTTCCACATCTCCCACTCTTAAAAGAACTCTTGGTTTCATTATAATGAAGAGCTATGCCCTTTTTAATCTCTTACTATATAATTCTTTCACTTCCAAGAAAGTAGACGTTCTACTTTTGAAACAAACCAAGAAACTTACTGTGCCATTTTTGCAGAGTGCAGCATTATCTAGGTAGATGTAACCGCCAATAATATTTAACTGGACTCTCAAAAGGACTACGAGCATACAGGTACTATATACAGCTACAATGCTTCTTGTGAAACCTTGAAAAGAGACAACAAAATACCTTCAGTCAAAGAAGGAAGGGTGAGCCAAGGAGGGAGCACACTCTCCAAGACTCAAGAAGTGCTGATGATTTTGAAGTACATTTCACTCATTGGTTGTCACAACACATCTTTTACAACACACACTCAAGATCATGATAAGTCTAATATTTGCTGGACCTACATCTAAAACGTCCCATTTAAAGTCCTATATTAACATTGTTTTTCACGTTACAAGTTGCTCCAGAAGGAAGATAGATGTGCTGTCAAATCATCTTTCTTCATTAGGCCAGGAAATACACACCATATGGTAGCCCTCGTAATGCAACTGAGACACAGAAGGCATAATAGCAGCTTGGAAAAAAAACTACCTGAGGCAGGTGCAGCTAGTATCTATAGAAAGAAAACTAAAATGAGCATCAGCTACCAGGCACTAGGCAACAGAAGATGTGTGGAAGAAGTGACATCAATAAATATGGATGACTGCTGAATAGCAAGGACACAGAAAGAAAAGAGACAGCTTAAAAGTAGGACCTATAAAAGTGGTGTGAAAAGGAGAAACAAAACCAAAAGGAAGACAAACCCAGGGAGGTGGCAGGGATAACAGTACCGGGGAATCAAAGCTAGTAAAAAAATAAAAAGCTCAGTAGTATTTCACTGCATAATTATTTGACCTCACTATTCTTCATTCCCTTCCACTGCTATTTCTTCTTCTTTTCCAAGAAGATGAACCGAAGTGTTCATAACCACTGTGATGGTAGTTCTCTTCAATAGGCCTGAAAAGAGGAAACTGCTGGCCACATAGAGGCTGGCCAACATTCTGATCAATGCTTTCTGTTAAACACGGAACTTTCTGAAAAGCCGGACCGATTTTTCTGTGATGGCACAGAAAGTTCTCACAAAGTTTTTTTGAGTAGGGTAAAATGCACACCAATAAAACTCTTCACCTTCACCTCTGGGCTTCTAAGTTCCCTCCGGGCTATGGAAAATTCCTTCATGAGGACCTTTTTTTTGGAGGGGGACTATTTGCCAGGTAGTGTGTTACACTATCTTCATATCTAGTGAAACCTCAACCCAGGGTAAACTGTGCCTTTTAAAGGGTGTGAAAGGCATTTTAAATTTATGTTAAATATTATAAAGATGGAATATTTCATTTCCACTTACTTATTATCTTTAAATCCTCCCATATCTCTAACTTGTTTGCTGGCCTGTGGGAAAAATAAATGGCAATATTAAACATTTAAAAGTATATTTTCCTGGGAAATAAATAAATGTTAAATGAAATAGCAGTGCTTTAAGGGGAGCTCATTTAGCTACCATAATTATTCAGATCAGATTCATGTCTACACTGATTTGACTTATCCAAGAAAGCAGTACATAAACCACACAATATGAAGTCACAGAGAAGATATTCAAACTTTAATCAATAAATGTAGTATTTAGTAATGTCATTTATATACTTACATTACCAATTTTGAGTTAAACTATGCTAAGTGGTCAGAAAAATTCCACTGCTGGTACACAGAACATATTGTAAAAGTCACTTAGAGAAACATTTGGTAATTTCTTACGATCAGAATTAACACTTAAATATTTAAGGCAGATAGTTCAGATTAGCTTATAGTTTACAGTAACCTAGTTTATAAAAGATAATATGCTTTACACCAGAAATAATTTCTTTACAGGCAAAATATGTGCACTTTGGCATTAGTTTGACCATTGTATCACTCACATAAACAATGACTTTTTAAGCTCACTGCTATCAAATAATGCACTTAAACTGATATAATGAACTATTAAGTCTACAACTCCAAAAAGTAGAGAGACAGATTAAAGAAAAGACAGCTGGAAGAGATACATGGATCCACGGCACATACAAAAACAGTTTACATGCTTCTCTTTTCCAAGCTAAATCAAGTTTTAAAAGCTATTCTAAAGCAAATCACTGTAAAAAAAAAATACAGTAATATTTCTATAGATAAAGCATGAAACAGGACTCAAACACACAGTTGTTACTTGTGAGTGGCAAGTTTTCCATGCCAACTGAAGAGAGAAAGAAAAGCCAATACGTCGGCATTAGCCAACTACATTGGCACCTATTATGTCAAAACATCTTCTAGAGCTCATGCTCACAGTTTCTCCTCACAGCATAAAGCATCAGCCAGGTGAGACTCTGCAAGTCTGCAAGTATTAAGCTTAACAGTGGGAACAGATTTTTCAGTCTTCGTATGCTGCAATTTACTAAGGCTCAACTTTTATTTCACTTTTATTTATTTGGAAAATCATGACCAACTATGGAAGGAAAAAGCAATGCAAACAAAACCCCAGAGGTTTGGAATAACGTGAACTGCTGATTTAGGTGGGAGATACTCAGTATCTGCAAGGCTGCCGCAGCAGGTACTTCATCTCATTCAATCACATTTCTTTGAAAAGAGGAGGACAGACAGAGCAAGCGCATCTGTGTCCATGTGTGCCACTCCCTCTTCCAAAGTTTCCCTGGAAGACTGAAGACTTCAGCCTGCTTCACCCCCATCCTCTCACTGGCTGCCCCAGATAAATAAAGCAATGTACAAAGTTCTAAACTGTAAGGAAGCAAATGGATTTTAAGTTAGTTTACCTAAGCCATAACACGATTGGTAACATAGATCCATAACATGTTAAAGCATAACACAGATTATGTGAGAAAAAGGATACATCTTCAGTGACACTGAGAAAGGTAAATCTCCCCATCTACTCGTTTGTGTATTCAACAACAACAGCTCTCAAAGGTCTTGTTTGGAGTAAATACTATTCAGTTAGTTGCAAATTCTGAGATAATCTATTATAAAAATATAATTCTGGCTAATTCCCACTTTAAGTAACACATTCTGTTGCCTTGTGAGAGTTTGACTGAAAGAAGACAATGCCTGGATAGATAACCTATTAAATGCTGGACAGCTGAAGTTATAGCTAGATAAGCAAGCTAGTGGGAGGTAAACCAGAAGCAGTCTAGAGTGAGTCAGAAACCCTCTGTTAACTGCCTACATAACACTTTTACTCCATGACAAATGGCAGGTGGCTTACTCTACTTTTCAGGTATACTATTATGCACTTCATGATTTTAAAAATATAGTATTTGTTTCTGCAGCCACAAGGAAACCAGAGATGTTTCTGACCAGGAAGCACTCTTCTTAATGTATGACATGTCCCTGTTTGTTCTACTTCAAAAAGAGAAGAAAAAAATTACTTCTCATAGCTTCCATCCATTCGCAATCTCATCTTGGATACTTTCCACTACTACTCATGTCTGACCTTGATGAGATTACATAAACATTTTTACAAACACAACATCAACACCTCGGTCAAGATACTCCGTCCTGTTTAAGAGAGAATTAAGTACTTTTATCTGCCTATCTTACAAGCATTTCAAAAAAACCCATGCCGCTCAGTGCAGCATCTTAAAGGAAGCGTTATTTCATGTCTGGAAGATGCCACTATACCTATCAAAATACATCTAACATGACACAAAATATTTATGCAGTGATTTCAAAATGCTTCAAGACTAGTGAGTCAATGGGACACAGAACCAAAATCCTGCATTCTGTCTGCATTATAAATAATTTGAGAAAACCCAAAAATATCTTGTGTTCAAAACAAGTGATCTTTAAACACAATTAACAAAACAGTCTTACCTATTTTTAAGAAGAGACGTGAGACTCTCAGAATTTAATTGATGCATTAAGGCGTCCCTCAATGTTGGAAGCATTGACAGCACTGTTATTAAAAAAACAAAACAAAACCATCACCATCAAAATAACCATCATAAACCTATCCTCAGCTCTCACTCAAAAGCTGCTCTACAATGTAAATGCCATTGCTCAACAGGCAAAGCTTGGAGGACAAGCAAAATGTGAAACCCTGGGAATCCTCTGAAGTGTAATTACCTGTGTGCCTCTGATGAGCTTGGCCACAATGCTGCCCTTACGTTGCTACATGTCTGTGTTGGCTCTAGCTCAGATGTGGACTCACACCCTGCATATATGAGCTTTCAACACCCCTCAAGAAAATCTGGTGAAAATCTACACTGTTGCATTTCTCCAAATGAGAAGAAAAAGATCTAAGGTTTGGGTTTTTTCCAACAAGAGAACCACAAAAAGGTGTATTTTCAACAGAAGAAAGCTAGTGGGGAAAAAACCCTTACTTTCAGAATATTCAATGCTCAATCTGCTGTTATATGATGGGAACAGGAAATGGAAAACAAGCATGCACAGAACATAACAAATACTAAGAACAAAGTATGAAAAATCTTGACAAGAACACATGCTGCCAGATAGAATGTACTTTGTACAAAAAAGTGCAACCAAAAACTTAGCCCTTGCAGTAAAATTGAACCCAGAACTACAAAATGGAGAAGAGAAAAATGAAATACCAATCAGTCAGGGTAAACAAGGTGCACAGAAAGCATTTGCAGCCACCCAAGAAGCCATTACAAATTTCAACAGGAAAAAAAAATGCTGCCCAAATTGTTTTATGGAAATAGTTTTGAGTGGCCTGTATTTACAAGAATGACAAGGATTTTGTTAAACTCTATTCCACCACCTTCTCTCCAAAAATCGAAAGACCACTAATATGTATCATAAATACTCTCCTATTGTAATGTATGTATTGCTGTAATATACTTTCAGTTTTAGCTCCCCAGCTAGTCAGGTAACTTTCAACTGTTAAAATGTAAGGAACTAATGGGCTGACATGCTTCTTATTTGTAAATAAAAAATACCCACCAAGCTCTCTGTGTGTAGCTTATTAACAGGATGCTGTAATGAATAAAATAACCCTGTTGTAAATTCAGTATTGTTTGAATCTGGCTGCTGTGTCACACCTTGACAGCACATGCAGTTTAGGGAAATCCGCAAAGGGTCTTGAACTGACCAAAAATTGTAATCTGCATGTATAGCTGTTTGCATTATAGACAGATAAGGGTTCAGCTGACCCCTAGAAATCCCTCCAAACTTCTGTTCTTCAGATTGTTTTCATTATGCAAAATGGCTCTATTTATGCCCTAGTGTTTAAGATTTTGAATTCACCTACACTTCTTATTCTTCTTCCATCCTGTCAATATGTAGTATAAATCCCCAAATCGAGAACAGCAGCTATTTCCTTATCTTACCTGTCATATTGCACGTCCTCTGATTACTTTCAAAATGGTACTGCCTTCGTGCTTGGGCGATGTATTCAGCTGCCTCCCGCTCTTGGATTTCTCTTATTTTCTTCTGCCCATATTTTCCCAGTAAATAGACACCTGCAGAGAGATTTTGACATTACAAACTGCTTTAAAATTGTAAGGAAGGCCCCTTCAGCCCCTTTCTTTGATTTCAAACAATCAGGGTGCACAGTGGTTTTTTGGGATATGTGTGTCTTGAGTATTTTAATACCAATTGCCACAGTAATACTCAGAGATAATGTTTTCAAAATTAATTAAAATGTCAAGGGTAACGACTTGAATCAGCATACGAAACTTTCCTGAGAATTAAAATCTTGCCTTTCAAAGAAGGCATTCTTTGTACTACTGGAACGTGAACAACAGGTACTGAAGCAAACACTAGGAAGAGAAAAAAATGTAGGGTAACAAGAATAGAGCAAATAAACTGTGATAGAAAGGGGCCTGGAAGTGGATGAAAATTTTAAATATTTTTTTAAAGATATCTTTCTAAAATTAGCAGAAGTTGAGATCAAATTCAAGTCCTAAAAATCACAAAAGAAAAATGCTAGAGAAGCACACTTCCTACAGAAGTTTCAGGACCAAATGAAAGAAGAAGCCTGGTTTCATTGGGGCTTGACTGTGGTCCTCTCTATTTCTTACCATGCCTGGTTCCTACTCTCCAGCTCCACTCTTCTGCCCTTGCAGATGTGATCATCCCTCAGCACCTTCACTATGAATTTCCATTTCCAGAAAGATGCACAAAAAAATTTTGCTCTACATTTCCTCCTCTCCCAACATACATCCCTTTGAAGTTTCCAACTGCTCTTCCCACACCACCACAGGTTCAGAGAACTCTCCAGGCTGCCCACAGCCATTTCCTCATCCCTGTCCCCCTTTCTTAGCCATTCCTCAAGATACCACTACATCTTCTAGACCTATCCTCAGCACTTTTGCCCATTGCAAACAGCTTTACATTAATTTCTCACCCTTCGCCTGGGGCTTTTTATAACACCTCCTGTGTATCAAATTCATTTGCTGCCTCCTGTAGACACTGACAGCAGCAGTTACCTATTTAGGTGCATAACAAGCTCTTTCCTTGTTCCCTCATGAAAGAATTCGGGGGTGGGAGGGGAGGAGATATAAGGAAGGAACAAACCCAAGCAGAAAATACTATTGTACAAGTTGACCATCTTCTGTCTGCTGTGGAGCAGTCCCCTAAGCACTGAGACTCCTGTACAGAGCGTCAGCTCTGACCCCATTGGGTCAATAATGGTGCACAGAAGAAACCTGAGTATCAAATTAAATCTTTACTTTTTTCCACCAAGTACTTCCAAAAGTTGTGAACACAGAGCCACAAAGTTTTCTACAAAGTTTAATTTTCCCATTTCAAAGTTAATATCCAAGTGAGGCATTGAACAGTTGCTGAATGCTAGAAGTTTTAAAACTGATTTTAAAAGCCCAAATCACCAAAACAGTAACAACAACAACAAACACCCCAAACCAAACTCCCCAATATTTTAATTCAGTTACATCGTTAGGTCATCACAACCTTTTAATACATTCTCTAAAACTATCATCAGGATTTCAAAAGGCTTGTCGACTTTGTGCAATATTTATTGCAAAAAAAGAACCAACCTCCAGCTATTCATATCACCATTACATTTCCTAATAGGCAACTGCAAGCCAGACCAGTCTGGAACAACCACAGGCACTTCCATTTATTTCCCAGAAGCCTTGTAAAATAAAAATGGGGAATCACTCTCTCTTGCTTCAGCCTTTAGGCTGACCATTTGCCATGTGGAAAAGTCACCTCATTAGATGCAAACTTTAGTATCATGGTTCCGTATACAAAACATGAAATTTAACTACTAAATTATTAACCAGAATGAGACTTAATAAATAACAATTAGATTACTTTTCCCTAAAAACTTACCAGTTCCTGCCAAGAATATCTATTTAGAAAACAACTGTCACAGTACTGACTTTTTCCCCCCCAACAACTATTTTTTAGTATTAGCAAATAATTTTTGAACACAAGATTTTTTCCAGTCACTTTATCCCACCACATTTTTCACATTACATTTACATATAGTAATTTCTCCAAATGACTATTTTTGCTTATTCCTCCTCCCAACCACCACCCCCTCCCACCTCCCCAATAAATAAATCCTTTAGCTCCAAGTTTTGTGGCAGAAAAGTCATGAATATACACAGGATGTAGGCAGATATGCAAACAGTTCAAGAAGAATCATGTGCATGCCCTTGAGTGATATGCTGGAGCAGCAGCTTTAAGACTGAGAAAGCTAATCGCTTAACACTCGATTGTTAATGCTGTGCAATTACTCTGTACTAAGAACTGCTGTGTCTCATCAGGGTCCAAAGTAACAGTCATCCAGAAAAATCACTTGTCTAAAATGATGCAACACCAGCTACTAGTAGTCTTATTTCTCCCTCTCCTGAAACAAGCCATAACTTTGACCCATCACTAACAGATGTTATGATACTCCAGTATCGTCCTCATCTTTGGGAATGCAATACATTCCCAAAGAAGTTAACCAAGGTCAAAGTTACATCATCCACCCAGTTAAGTAAAACCAACGTCTGGATGTCGGGAGCAGGCTACCTCTGGTGCTATCTGCATGGCTTGTGAGTGCCTCTGAGCTGCCCGGAGGACACAGCATCTCACTTGGGAAATTCAAGTCTCCTTTGCGATAATGAACTTTGTCCACTGATCACTCCTGCCTGAATGCAGCAGCAGAGCTCCTGCAAGTCTCTGGCCTACAGGGTATTTCAAGGATCTGTCAGCTCAGGAGTCAGTCTGCATGTGTGTCCACACTTTACTTTAGAACAACCATGTGCATCAATATAGATACATGTAGCATTTATTCAGAAGACCTGAAAATAACAAACACTTCTAAAGAGCCCAGGCTGAATGTATCATATGAAAACATCATCACTTGGAGCTGGAAGCAAGGCCAGAGAAAGCCACATACCAAGAACTGCTATAATGTCAGGTTGGCTAATGTACCCATAAGAACTTACAAACTGACATTTTGAAAGACTTGTTACAAACAAGAAAAGTGGACACCAACTTTTACAATAGCTAATATAACTCATTTTTACCTCTCAGTATAGATAAGAAGGTCTGCAAAAAGCGGCAGCAGCAACATTTTATTCATATCTAATTAACTAAACTATTTTTTAGATGGACCCTCATACCGTACCTTGCATATGTTCCATACAAATCCAGGAATTAAGAAAATTCAGCAATAATGAAACTGCCTCAAAGATAATTTCTATGTAAACTTTTTTTCTGCCTTCATCAAAATGTGAACTATGCCAACAACTATAGCCCCTGGTTCAGGGGGTTCAGGAACAGAGGAGTGGTACAAACTAGGATTGCATCGCCTGATGCCAAAACCCTCAGGCACAGCAACCTCAGTGAGGACTTCAAACTACAATTCATACCACTTTAAAACTGATTTACAGAATGAAAGCATTTACATTTGTATTGGCTGCTTGTGCTGCTTTTGGCTTCATAGTAGCTAGTTCAGGGCTACGCTGGAAACAGCGTGGATAACACAAGTATGTTTTCGTCAAGGTCTTTGCTGATTTTTCTTTTTTTTAAATTACTAAACTGTTTTTATCTCAACCCATGAGTTTTCTCACTTTTACCCTCCTGATTCTCTCCCCCATCCCACCGGGGGGAGTGCAAGCGAGCAGCTGTGGGGTGCTTCGGTGCTGGCTGGGGTTAAACAACAGCACTGTCCAACACCACCAGGAACTCCTGAGGTCTACAACACAGGTATTCTGTGGAAGCCACACTGACTTGACTCATCTGTTAACAGTGAACAGAGATAAATATGCTCTTGTCTCTGTAGGCTTCTTTGTCTGTAGCATTGCACAGTCTCTTCCCATTATAAGAAGGACATGTATCTGTTGGAAGAAGTCCAGAGGAGGCCACAAAGATGCTCCAAGGGCTGGAGCACCTCTCCTCTGGAGACAGGCTAAAGGAGTTGGGCTTGTTCAGCCTGGAGAAGAGAAGGCTCAGGGGAGGCCTTATACCAACTTTCCATTACCTAAACAGGGCTTACAAGAAGCTGGAGAGGGACTTTTTACAAGGGTATGTAGTGATAGGACAATGAGGAACAGCTTTAAACTGAAAGAGGGTAGATTTGGATTAGATCTTAGGAAGAAGTTCTTTATTAGGAGAGTGGTGAGACACTAACAGATTGAGCAGAGAAGATTCCCATCCCTGGCAGTGTTAAAGGTCAGGCTGGATGGACCTTTGAGCAACCAGGTCTAGTGGAAGGTGTCCCGGCCCATGGGACAGGGTTCAAATTGGATGAACTTTAAGTTAAGGTCACTTCCAACCCAAACCTTTCTATGATTCTATGATCTAAATGTAAGCAATGGAAGTAGCTTAGAAAACCTGCAAGCTCTTACACTTTCATGACAGTGGCCTCAAACAGGTAGGATATTTCTCACATAATTTCTGGCTTACACCTCCCTCAGGCTTTTCTTTTCTTCCCAGGTGGAATGGAGAGATGAGCAGAAGGGTGGGACAGCTAACTAGGAGGCATCAAGTTTTCAGGAAAGCTCTTTACAACCCTATGTAATCTTCACCCTCATTGCCATACTTCCCTCACAAAATTAAGGGGAAAATTTCAGTTTTAAGGATTTTATTATGTAGAAGTTGCAGTTTTAATAATTTATTATGTAGAAATTGCACTGACACACAGAAACCTGCATCCTTCCAGAACATCAAAAGCTCCTTAAGCTGTGGTTTGTCCTTATGCACAAGCAAGCTGTGCATCAACTGGCATACAACTGTCCCATTAAAATAAGAAGACACTACAGCCTTAATCTCTTGGCACCACTGGGTCCCACCAAAACCTATTTAACAGTCCTGCACTCGCTCACAAACCAAGACAACTTTTTCTGCCAAGTAGACAGACTTCTGAACTGAAACATTCTTTCTACAAGCCAAAGGTTGCAAGAGATGACATTGAGCAATCATTAATTCACCTCTGAAATCAGAACCATACATTGCAGACACACCCTGAACTTGCTCTACTACTGCAGCAAGAGAATTTCAAC